GTGACACATACTAAAAATTCATTTCATCCTTTATATGCTAGAAAGTCAACAAACATTTTTGGAAGAAGATGCATAGCACTTGCTAGAATAGGCAGTTAAGGAAGATGAAGAGAAGCATGACAGGTCTGTAAGAACTGTAAGAGCACGTACAGAGAGAACACAGATGCAGTGTTCTCCTAAAAATCCATCCTGTACTCAACAGAACCTAGTCAAACATTAGCCCTACGCTGGCAATGTTTACTTACCTATAGAGCAAATTAAAATTTTATCTTTGTTCTGAATGCCTTATGAAGGAGGGAGAGAACAGTTATTGTATACAAATTGCTACCCAGCAGTAAAATTCTACCCAATAAAGCAAATTCAATTTCCCGAGCTGAACCTTGAGACTCACTCAGTATCATACAGCTTTATCTTTGAACAGCAGCTCTTCCCACCCCATTGAGGGAATTCCAGTCAAGTGATGCAGAGAAATGCAAGACAGTCAAAACCTTCATCATTGTACCCAAGCATATTAAATAAGTAAAACATAATTACTTTGTGCTTGGACATGGTCCAAGCTCTGCACACAGACTACACATGAAGGAAGGAAGAATTTGGGCACCTCCGGAAATGGAAGAAGCGACAGGCCACAGTTGAGTCATCCTGCTCTTGCTCCTTAAATTTGCGGTACCGCTCCAGACGGCACTCCCGACACTTGTGCAGATGTGGAGCTACATTGATGCAAGAGCCATCCTGGAGAAAAGGCTCCCCTGACTGCTTCAGCTTCCTCACCTTACTCATATCTTTCAGCACAGACTGGCCAACTGGGTGAGGCAAAGTAGAAGTAAAAATCTATTAGTTAATTGCAACAGCAAAAGGACACTGGCTCCAGTAATCATCTTTTCAGAGATCTTTATGTTCATACCCATGTAAAACCAGTGAGTCTGTTTAAATCTGCAGCACATCACACCTCTGTCCTGACAAATACATGCTTAAACATTTCTCAAAGTGAACATCTAATTCACATACAAGAAGCATTACGCTTTAGCCTTGCACGCATCCCGTGTGCTGCCTACTGAGCATAAATGAGGTTTACAACTGTGGTTAGTTCACAGAGTTCACACAGGAGATAACCCAGTATCCCACCTCCTTGTGCTTCCAAGACATCACCTGCATTCAAGTCATCACCTTTTAGGGGAGCTGTGCGGGGCCGGCCCTTTGGGGATTGCTTCCCCTTTCCTTTACACAGCAGCAGTTCCGCACTGCGCTCCGCATGGGGGCCCAGCTTTGCCATCAAGTGGTCTGGGATACCCTTCATACAAGCTTTGACCTGCAACTGGTCTTCAGAGTCACTCAAATCTGACAGGTCACTATTTGTACTGGAGTCAGAGTCCTGTTTGGACGTTAAGCTCCGCTCATCTAGCGAGAACCTTTTCACAGCTTCAAAAGGAGCTTTGTTCTCCTGTGGAAAGTCTGCCTGTGAAGAGAAAAAGCTAGATGGATGTCTGCCAAACACGTTAGAAAAAGTTTTCAGAAGAGGATTGTCCTGCTGCCCAGGCCCAATGGCTGGTTTTTCTTCTGTTGGGCTGGAGGAAAGTGTGGGCATCTCGATAGGCTGTGTCAGGTTGCTGGTCGGTGAGCTGGAACGGCCATTCCCTACAGTGGAAGGGCTCTGAACACCAGCAGCTACTGTTGAACCAGGAGCACTGGAGATCATCTTTGAGGAGTCAGTTGTGATAAACAAGCTTTTCTTCTTAGCTAAAGAGTCTGTAGAGGTGAGCGATTCCGGCCAGCCAGAAGTGGCCTTGTGACCCACAGGTGTCGAGGGAGTAGAAACCCCCGTCTGAGATGAAGATGCAAAGCCACTGAAAGGACTAAGTTCTGCTTTCTCAGCAAATGCCAGGAAAGGGTTTGAGGGTTCCTCTCGTGATAGCTTAGGGGGCTGTAAAAACAGGTTCTCATGACTATCTGGGGGACGAGTATTCAACAGACTTCGTGAAAAGGCTGGAGTAAGGGTAGGCATGGATTCCACAGGCAGCTTCCGCTCCACAGAACCACCAGACTGGGCTCCTGGTTTACTGTCCACTGAGAGCATTTTACCTTTACAGATCCCAGAACCCACACTCTCTGTACACTGCTTGAATGAGTCCCGACTAGAGACATCTTCAGTCAAGCTCTCTGAAATGACCGTGAAATAGTTACTGGAAGGAAGATTTTGGGACATGCACTGAAAAAACAAGTTCTTGGATGGATCAGAATCTTTCTGAGCCTCTGGTCCAGTACTACAACCAAAAGGAAATCCAGAAGACTTGCTTTCTGGAGTCATCACTCCATTTGATTGGCTCCTTCCAGCCCCAAATACCAAGGACTGGGAAGCACTTGGGAGAGACACTCCAAATCCAGAAGAAGCCAAAAGTGAATTTCGGGAACTCTGAAACAAAATTAATAAGCATTAGCGTATTAAAGGATTATTGTTTGATTCAAGAATACTTTGATTCATCTACTTGTACAATTAGCATTCTACTTTTCTGGAATAGAAACTTCCAGCAGACTTATTTACAATGAAGAAACTAAATATTGAAACTAAATATACAGGGAGAAAACTAACACTTCATGTCTTATCATGCTTTAGAACAATGGTGAGACACAAGACAAGGGGAGCTAATTCACTGAAAAGCAAATTATTAAAGCTGCCGCTCATTTAAACTCAAATCAACAAGAGGGGAACCCTAAATGCTTTTGAATCACCTTTCATCTTTCACCCTCCCCCAAGATCATCCTGATAAGCTTCTCCTACTTAAGCAGCACTCTTGAAATAAGTAACTAAGTTTGCAAGTTAAACAAAACAAGCCCTCTAGCAGTTAGAACAAACTATTCCTGGTCCCAGCAAGCCACATCTGCTGTCAGGCAGATAAAGGTCTTTGACATGGTGCCTTCAGAGGATTACTCAGCAAAGGTTAAGCACAAAGGGCTTTATTTTTGTGATCACTAAATACTGGAAAATTTTCTGGTAGATTTCTGCTAGAACCATAACTGTGATATGGAACATTCACTTCTTCTCTTCTCAACTGATACTTGTTCAGATTTTCCAATTCTGACAGTCCTATTGTAACTGATTATATGCTGTGACTAACTCCTCATAGAATCATTTAGATCAGTTCTACTCCTTTTGAGTTTCCACTTAGAAATTTGCTCATGATTAATACACTTCTATTTCAAGGTCATGTTAAAATACAACCACAGACTCTCTGCAACACATCCTACTGGTCAATGAACACCTACCACACTGCACACTCTGGTTTAGCTTGTTCCCTGTTACCAACCTCCAGTTGTAGTAACTTTAATAACATATTAACAGTTCTTCCAGGTACTAGAATTTCAGCTATTTCTTTTTAGAGACAAAAGTAATTTTAAAAAACCTGAGTTCTAAGAGTTTTTAAAAAGAGTATGAACACAAACCAAGCTTGTTAAGGACCAAATCACACTATGATAAAGTGGACAGTCTGAAGCAGTAACATGTGAACTATCTACAACACTCTTGCTGGTTTATGTCACGTTCCCTCCCTCAAGGAAAATACAGTTTAAAATGGCCTAGTAGCCTGCCTGCAAACTCTGAAGCCAGGTTTTTAATGTTTTAAAACAAGTGATTAGGGGTTGGAGAGAAGAAAAGAAGAAGTGGTACCAAAATTTCTCAGTACAATTAAAGTTGTTCCTTAAAACCCTGATGATAGAATGAATTTTTATCATTTACCTACACAATGTGTAGTTGCTTCCAATGCTAAATTTTTTTCTTTTCTTGGGAGAGTGGGGGAGAGAAGAGAGAGGAGGTTATGTTATATTATGCTTATTATGTTACACTCCTGTCTTCAACAATTCTGTTTCTCCTTTACACCTTACCATCTAGGAATCTTTATCCCAAGGTAAACATCTAACCTTTATACCCATTCCATTAGCTAATACAAAATTCAGGGATGGCAATAATCCATTTAACCTCCTGGCAATCATGTTGGACTCTAACGTCTCTCCTATTTTCTTCACTTTTTTTATACAGCAGACAGCAAGATTTCTAATTTTTGTTGTACTTACTGAGTGGGGTTTTGGTTTGGTTTTGTTTTTATAAGCCCTCATTTGATTTCTTAAAAGGTCTTCTGTTTTGTTTCTAAGAGGGTTTCCCTTCTATTTTTCCACTCTTTCCCTTGAAAACAAAGTCATAACTAAAAGGTCTTCAAGCTGCTTCCAGACTGAGCTCTTTATTATAATTTATTCTAAAGTTACTCATCTCAAATATTCTAATTATTTGTTTGGTTTTAGTCCTAGATAGCAGACAATGCAACTGGTTCATTTTTCTCCTATACAGGTAACACAGCTGTAACACACAAGCTGGGCATCTATAAAAGGTCATCTAAATGTATCCTCATAATTTTGCTGGTTTTGAGAATTTTTTTTTTAAGTAACTCGAATGTTCAACTCAGTGTACATTCTCATGCAGATTTGCTAACATAAAGGCAAGAGGTTTTAAGTCAGTTATCTTCCATATGACACAACAAAATTAAGTGCAGTGCTTAATGTGACTTTAAAACTGCATTTCTTGGATTAAGGTTGAATAAACACACGCACACACAGTTGTCTCTTACTACTCCTTCACCAAATATCTTAATTTTCTTTTGAGTCATTTCTTAGATCAGATAACAGGTTTTCTTTGTAAGGAGAGGGACTAATCAGAGAAAAAGTAGTTTTCTCAATTCCATGGCCACACGTTGTAACAGGAGTATGTTGCAGAACATCTGTTGCAAATACGTAAATCCTTCTTGGACGTGCTGGATCACGAGTTACTCACCTCCCCCTGGGCTTGTGCTCGGACTGTTTTCAGTTTCTCCTGCCCAGTGACAGCTGGCAAACTGGTGTCAGAGATTCTCACCGTCGTCGGCGTCAAAGCAGTTGTAGTAACGGCGGCTGCAGAAGTCACTGTGCCTTGGCCACCCTGCTCCAGTGATTTTCCTGCCTCTTTACATCCAGATCCAACGAGCAATGTCTGTCCAGCCACAGAGGAAAATGGAGTGAAGGGCAATGGTGTGTCACCACCAACCGGCTCATCCTGCACTACCAGTGTTCGGCCGTTCTCTTTGGTGTAAGTAGCAAAGCGAATATTGCGATTAATCTGAGAAATGAACGAAGGCAACTGCTTGGCCCTCGGATCCAGTCCTGTTTCGCTACTGGAGACTCCTTTCCAAGGACCTCTGCTCGCCTCACCTCCATCACTACCGTTGCTGTCCACCTCACCCCTCTCCTTTAGCTTCTTTGTTGCAGGATCACATCCAGAATCTGAAGCATTTTTCCTCCTCCTTCCATCCTTTCCCTCCAGGCTTTCTTTCTTCTTTTTCCCTTTAGATGATGATTTAGCTGATTTTAGGCCCGCTCCCTATAACAGACAAAACCACGCAATGACTAAATGGAACAATCAGGATACCCATTCAAAAACCATTTTTCTGTTACAAGAGAACACATTACACTGCTCTGATGCTTAAGAACATTTTATCACAAATTGAGACATCTAAAGAGAGATGCCATTTGAGCACAGAACACAAGCATGAGTGCAGTCTTGACTTTTTTGTACTAGAATAGGATCTGCACAAGAAAATTTTTAGCTGAGCTACCTTGATGTAGCATGTACCACATCATGGCAAATTCTGAGAAACATCCAACACTCCATCATTGTTCTTCGTAATGCATGAATACTATTTGCACACTCATTTTTGCTCCAAGTGTAATCTCCACAGTTCTTTTGAAGGGCACACTTTCTGTGCACTACACAAAGCCTACAATATTTAACTACAGGAGACAGCTTGCCCTTTTGCCTAGGGTAAAACTACAGGTTCAAATGTTATCATGGAATCTCTCAACTGAAGCAATGTAATGCTTACAAGGCATACAAGCCAGATGGCAACTTCCAGAAATGCCTAAAAAGGTCTGTGAAGCAGCACAGTGATCCTGTTAGAAAAAGGCAGCAAGCACAGACAATCTTTATCAGAGCACTACACCTTAAAATGGAGCACAACATCTTAAAATGGAGCACAACCACCAAGGTTACTGACCCCCTTCCAAGACCCATACTAAACTTAGTAAAACAGGCCTAACAAAAGGAGAAGATTGTTCAAAGAAGGTTGTGACCATCCTCAAAGTAGCAAACAAAATTTTCCCGTTCCAACTTTTAAAAGGAAAATTATTAAAATTATCAAAGATCCACAGTGAACACTTCATCGTTTTTAAATTTTTTCCATGTTTTAGATGTTTCACATCTAAGTTTTTATGAAGTTTCACACTGTATATACAAGACCTGAACTGCTGGACTACCTCGCTTGGAGAAGTGTTGTCCATCACCACATGAATCAGTCGAGGATCCACCGACTTTATCTCACCACTCTAATTTTTTATGCAGATTGATAAGGAGGTAGGAGAAAGAAAAGAGGAGGTTAATTTTTAATTCAGAGTATACAGTATCAACATAAGACACCTAAACACACAGTTACTGTGCAGCCCCTCTCCCATTTACCTTTTCTATCCCACTTCCTTAGGAATACTACTGCCTTCCAGTTTACCTTCTATCCTTCTGCTCCTCGATTTCAAAAACTTGCAGATTTGATTCCTACTGCTGTTACCCTGTATATTTGTTCTGTTGAGCATTTCTAGAAGCATTCATTGCATTAAACACAGCTCTTCTTAAATTTGATTTAGTATTGTTGTAGCCTTCTACACTTCACTCTGCTAGACATAGAAAAGACAACTGCAAGAGGAACATCAATTCATCCTAACTATCCTCCCCAAAAGGAGCAATGAATACCCAGTCTCTAACTGTGCTTGGAGGTTACCATTATTTCACAGTAAATACACAGGAATTTGGGTGCTTCTAAACATGTATCTGCTAAGAGCACAGGAGCAGGCCACTGGTAAGACTGAACTACCTGTCAGATCACACAGAAGCATGTAATAAAAACCAGGTAACTCTAGCAGTGCACAGATCCTCCGTGCTGTTCACAGGTTTACTGACAGCAACAGGGCAAAAGACAACAGTCTAAGCTAAAATACACAAATCAAATTTATTGAGGCTAAGACTTCATCTGCTACGCTGTACTTGTATAATCAAGAGAAGGCACAGGAAGACCACAATATAAGAGATCCAGAGGGCAGCTTTCTGTGCATCACCATGCTCTCCCATCCAGAGAATCACTTCCAACATTTCTTCATACAGCACTCATTCCCAAAGAAACTCTTACAGCTTTTTTTTTTTTCATAGAAATGGCCTGTGTAACATCATTTATTCTGGAAAGTCATCATAACAGGAAAAAAATATTATAAAAATTCTATGAATCACAACATGAGTAATGACTCATCTTTTAAAACAAGTAACAAAGAACCAGAAGAACAACTTTTGGTGAAGCTGTCATTCTGCACATATAGATATTGAGGAGTGGTATTTTAGGAACACCAAAAGTGCTTCATATTTTTACCTCAGTCACAGACACCTCCATAAGACGAGATATTGGGTCTTGATGGCTCACAACAGCAGAGAGCCAGCTATTTTCATCCTCTGGTTGGTAAACCTTAACTCTTTGGCCTTGGACACTGTAAGGACCTGGAAAAGAGGGACTCTGAGTATATTTTCCAGACAAGCTTTGTGTCATACTAGTTAAGCCATGCAATAAAATAGTTCTGTACACTTAATTAGGGCTTGAAGTATCATCTTTCAGATGGAAAGACATTAAAACCCTAGGACTAATGCTGAAAATCCTGTGTAAGCAGGTATCCTACCCTAAAAAGTCAACAGGCCCCCGATGCTATTGTAAAGACAAAACAAACACAGTTTACAAGTAAAAAAAAAAGTGAAAGATCAAAACAAACTCAATCCTTTGACAAAAATCAAGCTAGAAGGAGGCTCCTTGCTATAAACTCTTTTGCCTTTCTAACCTATGGGTTAATAATTATGTAGCATCAATCCAGTGGCCAGTCCTGGCATTCTGATTCAGACCAGATGTGCCAAATCCCAGCAGAAATGCTGAGTAGTTTGGAGCAGAAACATGTCTTTGCATATCCAACATCTCCAAACCAGCCGGTCTCAGTTCTTTCACCCAGGTAATGGATCATCTACAGAAAGGTTTCCTCTGACCCTGCCCTTACTCTCCACATCAGCATGCAGAGTTTTCCTCCTACCCAAAGTTCAGACAAAATAATCCACTGCTAATATTAGATCATCAAAATCCACATGATCCAACAACCTGTATGTGATACAGCCAGAATTGGGCAGAAGAAGGTTCCAAACTGGACAATTCTAAAGCTACTTGCTCATGTAAGAAGTCTTGTCCTCAGAAATTCTTATGAATACACTAAGAGGCACCAAATTCCCATAGGGAATTACATCTCCCTTCAAATGTAAAACAGGAGCCTATCTCTAGGGTGGCCCCTGGCAAGTGAACTCTGATAGAACATTGTTTTAGCACTTGACCAAGACTATCCAGATCTACAACAAAAGTCACAATCAGGCTTAACCCTACAGGATCCAGGTAACAGATAAGGTATTAACTCTATGCTGACCAGTCGTGTCCACACCACATTTTCAACTTAAACAAGTCATGTTTTAATTAGCAAAATGCCAAGATTTGAACTGACATTGAGAAGACAGTTTCTGAGGACCAACAACTACAGAAAAACTTCAATTCCAAATTTCCAGAATTACAGATTAGAACCATAAAAAGGCCCAAAACTTTAAAAATTCTAAACTAAAACTTAAAATAAGGGAAGTTGTAAATACATGGAAATTGTCCTACTTTAACTAGGGACCATTCCCAGTAGGTATTTCTGGTTGTATCTCAGCAACTGCTTACCTGTATCTGTGACAAAATAATGCTTTTTTTGTAAAGAAATTGCAAAATATTATAGAAAATTGACCTTCCAAATCAAACAGTAACAGATACTATTACTATCCTCCTTCACAAATCCCAGCATAGTCTAACTGTTCCACAACAAAGTAGCTCTGAGATAGAAAATATATTTCTCACCTCTACTAAAAATCTCCTGAAGCTTCTGGTCGCTGATCAGTGTATTGACAGATTCTCTTAGCAAAGGCTGTTCCTGGAGAATCTGGTTTTGACTCTCTGTTCCCATCTGCCAACAACAAACAATTTTAAACAAAAGTATAGTCTTTTAAGGTAACAGAATCATTAGTTCTTAAGGGACAGCTCTTCTTGGACTGCTGTCAGAGACTGACTAACCGAAAAAAAAGTAAAATTAAGGATAACATTACTGAGCATGTCAGGAGGAATAAAAGGATTAGCTCTGCAAATGCTGTTGCAAAACTTGCACTGCAATTATCAGCTACTCAATGTTTGACAACTAGCTCCCCAAATCAACAATGCAGAGAGTAACTGGGACTTTTTGAATGCAAATAGAGGTAGTGTAAGAACTTGGAAATGCAGGGAAAGAAACACAAACTCATGACAGGACAGCAAAAGGAAAAAGACAATGATAAGTTGGTGGAACAGTAAGAAAGAAATAAAATTAATGTGACAAGCACTGGACAAAGTTAAATTTACATTTTAACTCAGCACAGTTCAAATACCTGAAATAAACGTAATCCACTGGCATCCGACAGGAAACGTAAATGTCTGTCCAGAAGAAACTCTATTGGGACCACAGAGCCCAAGCCCAGCTTATCTACTAGAGGAGTGAAAGTCTGTGATGAACAAGCAAAAAAAAAGGTTATTAAAATGACTGAGCACATGTACACGCCAACAACATTCGATTTCACATGCTATTTACATTCAAAAATAATAAAAAGCTTAATTTCTCAATTTGTACTGCCCAGTGCCTGAGTTTTAATGCAAAATGTTAGTCCTTATGTCTAAACTAATAATTCTTGCATATTACAAGCAGGAATTACAGACAATTGCCTCCACTTCATTAGATCTTAAAGCAGAAATGAAAACATCTGTCATGGTATTTGATTTTTTATAGGTAAGCACCTTCTGATGCTCAGGCAAAAAAAAAAAAGCTTTGGTTAATAGTTCAAACTATCTTATATATTTAAGATATACCTTCTGGAAAGGAGTGTTTTTATTCCTGTACAGAAGTCAACTGTAAGTCATTTATAGGCTTATTTTTAAAGAGGTTTTTTTTGCTAGTGTTTTGTGCCAAATTGAAGACACAGTAAGAGTAGTATTGATGTTCAAGATGCAGAACAAATAAAAAAAAATACCTAGCAGAATTAGAATGACCTTATAACATAACTTGCTGATGGTAGAGGAATTTGCCAGCCACTGGAGTCTTTGCAAAGTGTTTTTAACCCCATTTTAACACACAAGTATTCACGACATTTTTCCCTTAACAGCTCTCATCAAGTTTGTTTACACTCCATCCTCCTGTACACAGCAGTATAAATATAAATTTTTTTTTTCAGTTTACGTAAAACTATTTCCCAGAAGCGAACAGAACTACAAGAAAGAGACAATGAAGGATGAATACACATTCTTAAGTGAGGTATCTAAAAAACAAACAAACAAAAGAAACCCCAAACAAAACAACACATTATCCCCTTTGTAATGCGAAGTGTACCCTGGTGCTTTGGCTAACTCCAGTCTGCATTCCCAGGCAGTTATCTGGGTCGGCCTCTGTGCTTAGAGATAGCTTCAGTGCTCCCGTGTCCAGGGCACAGAGGATGGAAACGCTTTTTTAACAAGCCTACAGATAAAGCTTGAGTTGTAGTGGAAGTGCTCTGGGATCATCACACAGTCAGTGTGCAGAATGTGGTAACACCCCCAAATCACTCAGATTGTGACAGACTTGAGAATCATCTGAAAGAAACCGATCCTGCATAAAAACAAGTTTCCCAGGTGAAACTAACTGGAGTTCACTTGGAGGCAAGTTGGAAATACACCGAAAGGAAAACTTTGCCTGTGGAAAAAGCACTATTTACAGAATCTCTATTGTAAAGGCCTGGTTTTCTTTTGCAATAAAGAAAATCTCAGAGGAAGATACAGTACCAAACTTCCTGCTTTGAGTCCAAGTGTCCATTTAAAACACTGAATTCAAATTCTATCAAGCCACAAGATCCTTGACTGGAAAAAACATGCACAAAATGTATTAAAAAGCAGAGAGTAGGATTCCAAGCAGTTCAAGGACTGCAAGAGGAGAAAAGAAACAAAAGAAGGCCCAAATAATAAAAGTTAAACAGCATGAAAATGAGGGAAGGATCACATATTTTGGTCAAATACTCACCAGTGCAGGCCACTGTGGCACCGAGACTCGAGTCCCCTGAAGCATAACTGGGTCATTTCGAGGTGCCCAAACCAATGATCCTTCCAGCAGCAACACTATAACTTCTTCAGCATGGACTTTCACCCAGGCATGTTGGTTCCAGTTACAGCCATCGAATTCCACAAAGATCTGATTAAAAAAAAAATTAGAAGGCATTTCATCTCTTTTCAGATACTGAATAGAAAATAATATTCCTACAATCCCTATGGAAAAGGAGACAGCAGTTTTAGTCAGAAAAATCAGGATAGTGTTGTAACGTTAACACTGAGAACACCACATCAACACAGCTATCAAATATTACAAAAGAAATGGGAATCAAATTCATAGCAATTACTAACCTATGAAACATTATTTATCCTGGCTCCAAACATTGCATTTTCCCATACAAAATTAAAGATGTGAAAATTGTTCATCCCAAAATACAGCTGATGACCCAACGGAAGCCTTTTTCACAGTAGGATTTTTTAGAGAAGTTCTACACTCTTACTTGGCACTTCAAACAGCCATTCAATCAGCATGGTTAACTGACATTCACAGAATTAAATGCTTCAGCCTGGAACATTTGTGTTTATGGAATCCACTGTGCATCACATTTTTGTGTTGTCTTGTACATTATTAAACTCCCTAAACAAACACAAATGTTTTGGATGGCATGAGATTACCCAGAATTAACTACTCATTACCTTATTTATAAGTGTAACAACATAAACCACGCTACACACACTACAATTCTAAATCCTTATTCCATCATCCTCTTTTTTCCTATCGTTAAGGACAAATGTTAAAGCCATATGAAATCACATGAAAAGGTTACAGGTTACAAATCCCATTCCACATGCTAACAACTGGAGCTATTAAATATTAAAACACAGTTGTATTCCAGTCTTTCATCTCCAGAACTTACATACTCGCCAAATACAATCAAATATGTTGGATGAACAGCAAGACATTCCTAATCAGCTAAGAAACACATTAAGCTGGACAGTCAAAACAGTTTTGTAATCATCACAAGACCACTGAGGGGTAACAGGGCACTAACCAGAGACAGCTCTCTGCTTTACCAATAAACCTTATTAAAAGAAGTATTACACTCACACACTCCTCTTCCCCACTCCTCCCCCCAAACCCAAAAGCTCAAACTCCAAAGAGAGTGGGAGAGAATATGAAACAACTCTCCTGATGAATTCTTGAACTCCATTACTGTTTAAGCTGCCCTGCAGAGAAACAGTACTGGACCTTTCAAGGTATCCTTCCTCCAATTCAACAAATTTCAGCAATAGTGTACAATGTGTACAGTATTTGTGAGGTAATAATCTTGCTATGATTCACTTATCATAAAGGTTATATGAAAAAAGGTTGTCATAAAGAACTGTTAGAATAATGCTGACTTTGGAATATACACTTTTTCTGCAAAACAGAGAAGTCAGGGCAAGTTTGTTTTACACACTTCACATTCAATATTCCGTTCTCTTTCCCCTTTGTATAATCAAAGAAGGAATGGAGTCCGGCCAAACTTTGCCTTACAACCACTAAAAGAGTTGTTACTAATTCTCAGCCAATACCCAACAGAGTATTTTCCTACACACAGATATGCAGGGCAGCTGTTCCAGGTCCATGCAACACCACACAGAATACTGTCAGTAGTTTCCAACCGATCACACAGAAACAAAAAGGATGAAAACTTCAATATATACACTCAGTTTCTGCTTCCAGAATCTGCAATAGAAATCACTGTGTAATGAGTGTGCAAGAAACACAAGGTGACTTGGCAGGGCACACCCAGTGTTTGTGCATATACCACTCTGTGTTACTACAGAAAACAGCTACAGCATATTCATGGACTGATGTCAAATGTGCTTAGATTCTTTAAGGAAAACACTGTGGGAATCCTGAAAGAGATGCCTAAAGAAGGAAAGCAAGAACTGATGAGACAGATGTGAGAATGAATGAACACATTGCCCTTTGATATATAAAGTGGTAAAGAGGAATATTCGACCTCTGCTTAAGGCTTCTGGGTTTTTCAACAAAGCAACTGCATTATAACTGAGAATTTCTCATCTGAATTTGAAAATAGTGTATTCAGTCAAGAGGGAATAATTTCTGTGCTAAAGTCTTGGCTACATCAGAATAAATTACCTCTCAGATGTATCAATGGACCAACAATTCACAGGGTCACATCTACTGACAATAAATATCTTCTGCTGACCTTCTGACTCTGCTCACAATCAGTTAAGACAAGCCACAGATAATAACACCAATGTTTTAAACAGTGGTATAGACTGCAACTATTTATGTAATTAGTGCAGATATGCCTGTATCAGATAAAAAAATGATGCTGCTTAGAAAAAAATACATCTGCAGGATTTCCCAAGTTCTCCCGCAGTGAAAAACCCTTTCCCTAAGCAATATTGAATTGCAAACAAAAACGATCTTTGTTTTGGTGGTTTGCCTTTTTTTTTTAATCTACAAAACCGGAGTTTTTTTCCAACACACAAAAACAAGAGGGTCCATACACACTTGTAATTCTCCCCCTTCCCTTTTTTTTTTTTTTGCCTGGCCCACTAAAAAGTGACACTGGAAAGCTGAGCTGTTGCTCTGCTTTTCTTGATATACAAAGACAGCCTGAAGCATTTTTTCCCAGAAGACACATTCTTGTCTAGATGCTACCCTAAAATTCAGACCTTAACTGTAGTGAGAGAACTACAATCTGGCTCAAATGGAATTTCTCCTCAAGTTTTCCAACATCAGTTCTGCTATAAAAGCAGCAATGACAGGAAGACCATAATGTAGATTAGACAGATACTTTGGTCTTTTTCATCATGTGACACACAAGCTCTAAATATGATTTACAATAGAAAAAATACAGAAGCTTATTGCATTAGAATTTGCAGTAGATGCCATCTACAAAAAACATAAAATCTTTACAGTTTAGGGGGTTATATATTATAAAAAGCAGAAGATGGAAAAAAAAATTCAAGTGCAAAAAAAAATCCCTTAAAATGGTCTTAAATTTTACCTAGTTTTGAAAGGAAGGATGGTCCATCAGTTGCTAGAGAGCAGCCAAAGACCCAGGTTCAATTCCCTGCTTCATCAGAGGCTTCCTGCATGACCTTGGTCAAGCCATTTAGTCTCAATGACTGTTTCCCCATCTGTAAATTGGAATAATAATACTTTTGCCCAGACAGGAGCCACTGGTGGGAATCTGTTGCAGACTAACCAAGTAAAACTAGATAACAAGTTGGTCCATGACCTCTTACTCGTGATGTAGAAAGACCTACATTGTCAACATCTAGGAAAGGAAGGAAGGGAAGGCAGAAACTGAGATTTCAACGAGGCAAACACATCTGAGGTCTCATGCAGCTGGTATGAGATGAAATTAAAACAACTGAACTACAATAGTTTTCTAGTAGTTTTCTGATGCAAAAAGTATTATTTTGGAATGTATTATGTGAGGCAGATGATGTACACACCAATGCTTATAAACCTTTCAGCTTCCAATTCAGTAACCATGTTTCAAACTATTTCTTACAAGCAAAGGCAAAAAAATCCAATCTGAAATACATATCTACAGACACAGTGTTTTACTGCAGCTCATTCACAAACATGCAAAGGAACAACCCTCAGCTTTGGAATACCTACCCCATGCTGTACCAACCTCAGTTCAGAGGCACTTTAGAGCACATTGCACCTGACACACTCCTGTCTTAACAAACAGAGCAGCAGAGGAGCCCTGCACATCAGCCCTGTGGGTGCCTCTGTGACCCAGCAAGAGGCTGAAACTTTAATTGTCACTGGTAGGAATGCCACAGCAATCCAGCTGGCCTCAAGCCATGCTACCTCTGTAACAAGACACTACTCAAAACCGATGTACCATTTTGTTTACAAAACAAGGTGGAGTACAAGCAGATTTTTACTGTACCTTCAAAGACTCCACTTAATCCAATCCAAATACAAAAGGCAGATTGCAGGTGGATTGCAGGTGGCCTCAACACTTCTGCCCCCTCCCTGTGAGATATGGCCACCATGCAAACCAGATCATTAGTCAAAGCAAAGCAGTTGTCCAAAATTCAGAATTGGAAAGGCCTTCGAGTAGCATGGTGCTTTATTGTCCCAATACACAGCAAGTAACAAATATGTACATTCATAATTCTGTACGCCAAGTTCTTTAATAAATTACTTGTAAAACAGCACCTCGAGAAAATTATGGCTCTTTGTAGTCACTGTAAGTAGTTAATATGTTTTAGGAATTTAGACGGGTAAAACC